CATGGTGGCAAGGACAGGTATGTTTTGGTTTTAGGTCTTAGAGAAAACAGCTCCTATATGTTGGCCTTTGTATCTTAGTGTGTATGGTCTTTAACAAGAATCTTCTCTATATTTTTTTTACGAGCACAAACTCCGTTTGTTGTGTCAGCTCCAGCTGTGTCAGTAACAAGATCGATGGCTGATCTTATCGAAACAAACTCAGTTTTCACAATATGATGTACTGAGAATAAAACTGCACGTAGCAAAAGGATCACAAAAATGTCTCCACTGAGAGTCATATTCCAGATCGGATAGCTATAACTATAACTTATTCCGTCAAAATTCATTTTTTCCTGGGACATTTCTATATATTTATCCAAAATATGCACCATTTCATCACACACACAAATTTCTCCTGACTCTTACACACACATACACACAAATTTCTCCAGAACTGTCGAAGATATCTAACATAAACTCTCCAACTTTTGCGCAATGAATATTTTAGAAAACTGTAAACACCTGTTCGCTGAATCCTAGTGATGAATACCTTTAAAAAATCCCAATGGTGGTTTCAACAGATTGTGAAAGGTTTACATCCCACGAGCTGCGATAAGAGCACTTTTAAAGCAAGCCCGTACTTTCTTTTCTATTTTTCCAATCGCGACACCACTTTGTTGATCATACAAAGGTTTCTAGAGCCGTCGGTGCCCCCCAAAAAGTGTTCACCTGGGTTTTGTTTTTTAATTTTCCACACAAAAAAACCCATTTATCTTTATGTATTTTTTTGTTGAATTTATACATGTATTTTTATTTTATTCTTTTTGTTTATTTATTTTGTATTTATTTAATTTTTGAAGGGGGGAGGGGGGTAACAATTAATGGTGCGTTCGAAACCTGAAGGGCAAAGGCGTTTTAAAAAATGGGGAGGAACCACCCCCCCCCCCCCCCCCCCCCCCCCCCCCGAGCACCCACCAAATCCCACTTGATGAGCAGTGATGTAGGCCATAATAGGATAGAAAGCGAATAATATAGTGCGCCGAATAATTTATGCACATTTTCATATTTCACATGAGAGATATCAGACATTGCATCTTTTGACATTGCCATTGATTTCCATTTTGTTTGCATGCTCTAATGAAAAGTAGATTGAATCTCCCAAAAAATAAAGTCTTTTCATTTAATGTCTTTTGCATCAGCGCCCCCCCCCCCCCCCCCCAAAAAAAAATATGTACGAGTGCTTTGAACAGTCCTTAAAAATGTGTCCATGAGAAAGTTATTAAGGTAGGAGTATTCCAACAAAACACATTTTCTTGCTTTAAATAGCCTGGAAAATGTTTTGCAGATAACCCTGCAAAAACGTATGAATTGAAGAATGCATTTCTTTAGTAGATCTAATGCTCCGACAGAACACATTTTTTAACATTTCGCCCCTAAAAACTGTGTTTTGTCGTAGCACACCCTGAAAGAATGTGTTTCATGAAGAAAAGCCTACTTTTCTTTAGGGATGCTCCGACAAAACACATTTCTCTTCTTTATTTGTTTATTTGTCGTTAAAAATTATGTCTGGAAATGGAGGGACACATTTACTTTGATCATAAATTAAATAGACGACATTTTGAGTAAAAACACAAAATCGCAAATGTCTCGGAACCATGACTTTTAAAAAAATGTGTTTTGTCGGAGCATAGCAGCGAGGTGCCTTGAATCTCCTTTTCCCATTCTCATTACAGACTTTTTTAAAAATCAATTGTTAAAAAAGTTGCTGAAACGCCACAGCTTTAAAAAAGCAAGTAATTTTTTTTTCAAACTGATGCTATGTTTCAGCTCAAACACAGAGCGGCAAAGGAATAGAAAGAAGAGGATGCACCCATGTGTGGAAAAGTTTATTACAGGTTAACTGCACCATTACCCCAAACCCCACCCCTTTAAAAAGAAAAATATAAGTTACGGTGCTCTGCTCTGGGGTTGAAGCTTTCTTGGTAATTGCTCTCCAGTAAGAACAGCTTGACATGACTTATCATTATCATGAAAGGAGAGGGACTGGTTTTTGCAGGTCATTTTGTTGCACATTAATTTTACATCATCCTTTCGATAGGCTGTATAAGCCTGTGTGTGCATGTGTGTATGAGTGTTTGTGTGTGTGTGAGTGCGTGTGTGTGTGTCTGTATTTGTCTGTGTGTCAGCTGGTGTGTGCCTCTCTAGCTGTATGTGTATAAGCCTGTGTGTGCGTTTGAGTAAGTGAATGTGTGTGTGTGTGTGTGTGTGTGTGTGTG